GCTAGTCTTTCACGATAAACATTTTTATTTAATTCATCTAGTTTTATTTACGTCACTTTATATACTTTCGTTCACAATACATGCTCACAAAATGACCTGGACGACATGTGACGTCTGACACTAAGCTAGCCCGAAGCAGTGATATTCTAAAATCGAGCTATCTGCACGAATTATATTATTATATCTATATTCGTTTGTTTCCATAAGGGGGACATTTTTGTTTCTCTCTCCGATTCTATTTTGCGGACATTTTCCACTTTGCGGTCATTTTTGTCTTTCTCCCTCTGATTCTGCTTTGCGGACGTTTTTTCCCTCCAATTAAGAAAAAACGTCCGCAATCAAGAAGACACGAGCAAAATCACAGTTGCTTTTGCAATTAGCTAGATCGAAAAGTAAAACGAGCTTCGAATTAGTTATTCATAACCAAGATCTTTGTTTTTTTCATTACTGAATGAAGCACACCTCTGGGAAAATTTATTATGGTAAATCAGATTACAAACAATTTGAATTACATCGTTGAAATATATTGAAACTTGATTTTTCAGTTTTAAGAAAATAATTCATGTTACTTTAATCTTTTTCTAATCAATTTTGATCGATTATATAGATTCTATGCGAGAAAATCGATAATTTGAATTACTTACGTTAGGGCAGTCCAAAAGTAGTGGCGGAGGTACTTTATTTTCTTACAGAAAGCTGTAAAAAAATTTCCTTTTTATGAACAGATAGAGCGTCTTTCGCTCTATTTTTCTATGCTATTTGATCACTATTCAACTGGTATCATAATAATAAAATTTTGATAAGATCTGTTTTCTTCGCATATGTGCTGGTAGCATGAATGCTCGTGAGTAGTTTTTGAATAAAGTTTGATAGAAACAGGATAGAGAACTGCGGTTTTCACCGTTAGAAAGAGGAGATGACGACGCATCGAACCATATATTACTGATTTTCATAATATTATTTTTGAAGTTTTTTCATTCAATTCTCTAACCGTCGGGAAAATGCTGTTTTATGAAAAAAATCGATAAAAAATCGTAGTAGATGCCCGTCTGAAATACGTATTATCTCAAAATAGTTGAACTTAAACATCTGAGTCTTTCGCACTTTGTATATCTGCAATTAGCTGTTTGAATGAGATCCTTATTATTGAAAATTCACTGTAAACAATTCACAGGATAAGTTTGTTCTTTAAAAGGTCAACTGAAAATCTTATAAAAAACAAGTTAGAAAAATCAGTATTACATGGTTCGATGCATCTTCATCTCTTCTTTCCAACAGTGAAAACCGCAGTTCTCTATCTTGTTTCTATCAAACTTTATTCAAAAAATACTCACGAGCATTTATGTTCATGCTACCAGCAAACATGCGAACGAAACAGATCTTATCGAAATTTTATTATTATAATACCAGTTGAATAGTGATCAAATAGCATAGAAAAATAGAGCGAAAGACGCTCTATCTGTTCATAAAAAAGGAAATTTTTTCACAGCTTTCTGTAAGAAAATAAAGTACCTCCGCCACTACTTTTGGACTGCCCTAAGTATATTTGAGTAAAAGAATTTTAATAGATCAACAAACGAAAAGATTTAAGTCTATCAGATTATGAATCGATTACTTAGATTTAACCAGAAAAAAATCAATCTTTATTGATAGTGGACGAGCCAGAAAAACTTTGTGGGTGGCTAGAAGCAGACTCAGGCCTCGTTTGAAATTGAAAAGCAGATATTTTCTTCGCATATAATATAGGTTCGTCTCATTTCAAGAGGAAACTGAACTAAATCAAGCTATCATTTGGCTGCTCCACTATTAATCGATTTTGCTTGCTAGTCAATTGTGCGATCTAAAACTAATCTTCTTTGATTTACATGAACTATGATCATTTTTTCTATCAAAACTGAATCTATAATAATAGAAACAAAAAAGACTAATCAATGAAATTTGACTTTTTTTTTCAGCATTTTAGATTGCAAAACGATTCCTAAACCATTATGACCAATTTTCAATGAAACTCTAATCGATTTTAATCGGATGTTTATTCTAAATTTTTTACATGGTCGAGAACTACATGTAAAAAAGGATTTTAATGGATTTTTAGAAGTCAATTAAAATCGATTACATTTCTAATCGATATAACAGATTATTTGCCGATAAATCAACTTTAATTCATTATTATCTGAAAAAATCTATTAAAATGTATTATTCCATTGAATTTAATCGATTTTTTTGATTATTGTCGGACAGTCAATTTTAATCAGATTTTTCTACATGGAGGTGACCAATATTATTATCTTTATAACTATTCAAGGGCACACTAGGAAAGATTGATATTTTGGATTTATAAGTTTTCATTGATAAGCTTCTAATTAATAAAATAAAAACTCACATTTGAGATTTTTCATATACTATAGTGTATCATATTTGACACTACTTACATGGACTCTCTCTTTCTCTCTTTTAATTGTTGTCTATACTATCCTAGTGCTTTTTCAGAAGCATGACTCTGGATTAAACTTGACCAAGTAACTTCATTTGATTTTCAGTCTTTTGACAGTTGGTGATGTTAAACCATTGTCCATGCATTCGTCATTCCCATTGAATGTTAATGCAGCTCGAACTTTCAATAAGCGTAGATAAGACACAAATAGAAAGCTATGATACTGCTATTTTATTATTTAGATAAAAATGAACTGTAAATCTTTGTTAGTATGTATTATTAGAAGAAATAGCATGATTTTTATTGATGTTGTTTGAAAAGATAAGTTTACCATCATCCGTATTGATAACCATATCCACCACCATATCCACCACCATATCCACCACCATATCCACCGCCATATCCACCACCATAACCTCCGACGCCCGGAGCACCTCCGTATATTTGTCCATAACTTGGGTTTGGATTTCCACCCATATAGTTATCAAGTCGTTCACCTAAGCCACCTATAGAAAAAATCAAATCAATTCATCTTTATTTTATCTCAATATTAAGTATGTGAAAAATGAAATAGTTCGAAAGGCTTACTGTTAATACCACCAGGTACATTTTGATTAATCCACATATCCGATCTCATTTCTCCCATTCCACCGCCATATGAATTATAGCCACCTCCGTACATATTGTAAGTATTAATGGTTGAATAAAATAAGTAACAAAAGTGCGTATATATGATATATAAAATGAGAGGCTTGCTATCTCTTTATATACAGTTTTTTAGCTTGTGATTTACATGAGTAACAAAAGTCGATCAAGCATAGCTTCATCTAATTTAGCATCAACAAAAATCGATTCTACCATTTTCTCGAAGCTTCTATTTACTGCAGTATTATATACTATCGACGCATTTACATTGAAATGAGTAACTTTGAATCTGCTCTTTGAAACATGACACAGTCGATTCACACGCATTCACCTTCTTAATCTTCAATTATCTATTTGACTAATAAACGCTGAAGTACGATAAAAAATACTTCTATAGGTTAGATATATGACTCATTCTCAAAATAGATACAATTTTTGTATAGAGAAGATTGATACAAATAGCAGACAGGGATGTGTAAGAGAGTTTTGTAATGATACAGCTCACTTTAATAATCCAGAACAAACATTATGATTGTCATCAACGGTCATATACGACAACGTGAACGATCGTATATGGTCATATACTGGACCCTCGAATTATGACTGTATGCTATCGCGATCTATATATGACTTCATTTATCGTCATATTTAATAGAACTTCTGTGTCAGTAAGATGAGTATAATATTATCTTTATTACTGGTTCTCTCCGTCGTCATCCGTAAATATAACAAAGATTATTTATTTCATAAAATAAAAAACAATTTAATTTTATAAAACCATACTTACTATTGACGTTTTTTTTTGTAATAAAGCTAAATAAAACATATCATTTGATTTTAAAATTTATGTTTACTATTGAATCTCTTCCTGAGATAAATTCAGATAAAAAATATAGTTTAATTTTATACATCAATACTTACCATTAGATCTGCTATTGAGATTAGGAGTTTTAATTTATCCTTATTATTCTTTGTAATAAAGAATCAATATAAATAAAATATTTATATTGATAAAATAATGATATATTAAATAAAAAACAAACGGTTTTTTTTTCTATGAAAACTTAATCTTTTATTTACTCTAAGTAGATCACAAAAAATTATAGCATCAGAGATACAAAAATAAGTATATAAAGGGAAGATTTTTTGCGTATATATTTTCATGCCGGTTCCTCATTTTTTAACAAAATTACATATAGAAGTGTTGTTGGTAATAAGAAAGGGCATTGATTAACATATTCTGCTGTTATGCTACGCATTTGTCTATTTAACTACCACAGTAAAATCTTTTTTATTTATCTATCCTTATTTAATAGATATCAACATTTTATTTATAACGGATGTTTCAGGATAAATTGCACTAAATCTTGATGCATTTTTTTCTCATTTTCTAATTATGCAAAAAAATTTCCTTATATACCAAAAGATAGATAATTTGAAGCTCTGCAAACTGTCTTCTTTTTAGATTTATGTATTTTCTTTAAAAAATTTTATAATGAAAAGTGAAGATATTCGAAAACTAAGTAGTATTGCAATTGTATCAGGAAGGTCATAATGGAAGCGAGATTCATCAACATTTACGTGGTATCCTGGGTGGGGGTGGAGGATGTGGGTATGATCGTGATTGGTTCAATAGGCGAAAAGAAGAACTACATGGACGTATACAGTCACATCCACACGCACTTACAGTGGGACTCATGCTCGTGCATATATTTGACATTAGTATCAATTGGAGTCGTCAAATAGTACACTACACAAAAGCAATTGAACATTCAGCTGAGAGTTAAGCGAGTCGCAACGACGTGTGTTACTTTTAGCTTTTTTATTTATCTAATTTGGCAGATTTATATGATAGAACGCTAAAGCTTTTCTAAAGTATGGAAATCTTTTTATATTGTTGGTTATGCACAACCCAACATCGCATTTGGGTACACTGGTTGCACATATAATTCCGTTCCACTGCACGTCGTTCAGTATGGCTGTAAGCATAACATTATCTTCGAGGAGTCTAATTGCTTCCATTTGGTACAATTAGAGACGAGAAATGTCCGATCGTTACTCACAATGAGTGAGTATGCAATGGTCTGGCAACACGTGACCTCTTGAAGTCGCACTTCGCAATGAGTTCTCGAATAATTTCTTATTAAAATTTGTAAAGCTGGAAGTTTTGATGCTTCAATTTTTTTTAATACAATATAACTATTGAGAACCAACAAATCCCTGACAGACGCTGCGATCCATGATTATGAGGGAAAAGAGTTTTGCATAGGGACATTGAATGATTGATGAAATTTCAATAGATAATAAATGGAAATAAATTGTTTTTTTTCTATAGTGCCTATTTTCCATATGTATTTTTTATCTGGAGAGCGTGGAAACACTATATGATTGGTGAAAGTATTTATGAAACAATGTCGTTTTCTTCTTTAGGTGCTGGACGACCTTCTGAAAAGAATAGTAAATTGCATCACGTGTGTGTCTCATAATTATGATATTCGATAATAATGAATAGTTGTAAGCATCAATGAAATTATAAGTTCAATTTGTTGTCTAAATCGTAATATAGTCGACGGGGTATATGGTGCCTCATTGTTCTTGGTAAATTTTGGGTCAGATTGTTTGATAACAGACCAATTAACTTTTTATTTCCGTTGGTTTTGCTGATCATATTAATATTATCAAAACGGAAATGAAACAGACAACAAATCTTATTAAATGAAAAAACGCTCAAAATCGACTTAAAGTAAAGAAAATAGATGAAGAATCATAAAATGACGCCAAAAAAAGAACATGTTCGATCTCTATTTCTAGTTAACACAAGTGAAATATAGACACTACAAGAATCATTTGTTCTTTTTTCTATCAGCAACAGAAAAAAGTTCAAAACAAAACATTAGATTTTTGTACATATTGTGTTTAATACGATTTTATTTTGTGAACTCTTGTCTAAATCAATGCGTTCATCTTTATTTGAAATCTAATCTGTCTTAGACACCTTCGACCAACAAAAAAGTAAGCATCTTTAAGCTGATGCCTTTTGAATTGTATTTTTTATCGATATTTATATGTCTTCAAATTTATGTTGCATATAGATGATATGTAAAGTGCAAATATATTGTATTGTTAATTTATGTTCTAAACAAAAAAAAATGAAAGATTTTAAAACTTTCATGTATTCTTTGTGGTAGAAAATAATAGCTGTCTTCTTTCGAAATTTAATAAGATAAAAAATTTAAAACATTAATTCACTTGCTCATAAAACTGCTTTCGAAAATCATTGTGCGATGTCGACACAGAATAAGTCTTTGATGCATACATTACAATGTGAATTAGTGAAAATGACTACTCTGTCTAGTTAAAAGAAAAAGTCACATTATATATTAAAAAATTAAATTGTCATTTTTTTTTGTTTTTCTATGGCATAGTACATATTTAAAAAAAATTAGATGACATCAAGAATCCTTCATATTGACAAAAGGGCTTCCTAATATATGCAGGAAAAGACTTATTCAAATGCGTATCTGAAAGAATATACTCAGAAAATCTATACAAAATACAAGATTTTTGGAATTTTTGATGGGTACGATCTGACCTGTGACCGATTGAATTATACCGTTGAATAGAGTTCATCAAGTTGTACTTGGAACATGCTCCTAGGAAAATTCTACAGGGCCTAACTTTCCTTACATGAAAAGTGCCAAACTTTCACCAATACAAAGGTTTGCCGTAAAATGGGAAAAATCCTAATTGCAAGGAATTTTCAGCAGAACTGTGACCAGCTGAACTTGTTTCAACTTCAGATCATGATTCAGAGTTTGATCAAATTTCATCGACTAATGTATAATGGATTTAGAATGCGATTCTCTATCGAGTGGTGATAGTTTTAAGAAATCATTGCTGCCTATCTTAGTCCTTCTGTCACTGTATACAAGCACGAATGAAAAAAATGTATTAGATTGATTATTCAGGTGGTAGCCGCTTCACACTACTGATGAAACTGTATATCTACAATAACATACGCCATCTATCTACTAGGAATCGTCTTTTAACTGGATTCATTCTTTCGAAATATCAGTCATTAATGAATCATGCTGAATAATATTATTATTTATCAAAGACTAGACTGCTCTGTGTTTGATGCAAACATGAAATGTATATAAACAATGTAAATAAAAGAAACTTATGTTTATCTGTTGATTTATCGCTTCTCAGCCTTATTGGCTAAGATCAAAGTGTAGTATCTGTTGTCGTCGATTTGAAAACCGGCACTAGTCTTATTGAGATGAGGCTTTCTGAAGCGGATGTTTTGGACATCGATTAGGATCACTCGCATCTGTATTGATGTCAAATTTGGTTCACGCTTGTCTCTTTCGAGGCACAAAAAAAGCATTTTTATTACACATAAGGTCACACTTTGTATTACAGCATTGTTTTCATTATTCCATATGGAGTATGAAATAACATTATGATAGCTGTAAATGATAGCAAAATTTAAAAAGCAATAATAAAATAAAATAATTCGCTAGTCTCATGAGAATTTGTAGGGCTAGAAATAGAGCCGTTTATGAATTAAACTGTTTCTCTACATACTTTGATTAAATGGGTTGATTCAAGCATGTTATGGCGTAGATTGAACAGATTGGATACGTTTACGCATGTTAGCAACGCATAATAGAAAAGAATCGAGAGAGATGTAGCAAACGGCGGAAATGCAAACTTAGCAGAAAGAAGTGCAATCGATTGTAAATAAAATTCTTTTAGAGAAGAAAAAGCTTACATTGTCATAAATGTAAGTATAAATTGTTTTCTTCTCACGCTTTCATATTCACAATAGATTTTAATAAAGATGCTAACATCTCTTGGTGTTCCAGAGTCAAATATGCTTGAAGATCCTGATAATTTTTATAAACGATCATCATTTCACGCAGTGGTATATTTAAAATGATTGAAAATTTATTTTGTATTTTGTAATATTATATTAGGTTCTTCGTACTCAAAAATTAATGCGTGTTATCAAAACTATGAATAGTGTTGGGGAAATAAAAAGAGCAGATGTGATTGGTTTAAATAGGAATGATATTACTCAACATCGGCAACTTTGGGAATTCCCAATGGAAAAAGTATGTCATATACATGTCAATGTTGTTCTGTATGTAAAAGACATGTCAGTAATCATGAATGAATTAAATTCACTTTAGTTCTGACAAGGCGGAAATAATCAAATGAGATGTCATTATAAGGACTATCTATCTTTATATCTACTTATGACAAAAATCGAAATAATACGCTTGAAAAATCGCATATATATAAGTATATTATCATCTGTTGATATATAAGCCATCAATTTCACGATCCTTTGAACCATTAAACAAGGTTGTGGCTTCTACCGATTTCTTTCTTCCAAAAAAAAAAAAAAGAGAAATGAGTTGCTTATCATATAAAACAAAAAAAACTCACAGAATGAACAACCATTTCAATGCGGCGAGCATCACGACTTTCTTCATTTGCTTCAGCTGAAACTCGACTTCATATTAGAATTGATCGAGAACGTATTTCCGTAATTGAATATCAAATTATTTATTTATTTATTTTTTTGTAAAGTAATAAATTATATTTCAGACAACGTCGAAAGAAAGTAGCGAATCATCAAGTGTAACATCTGGATTAGGTTCACAAGGAATTCGAACAGGTATACCAGCTAGTTCACGTCGTCTTGGTCAAAAGTTTATTATTCTTCATTATTCACCATTTAAAGCTGTGTATGTATTTTATTTTTAAAAGTTTTTCTTTTTTCAAAAACTAAATCTTATCTTTATTCTTAGATGGGATTGGGTAATATTTTTACTTGTTTTATATACTGGTATAATTACACCTTATACAATATCGTTTCTATCGGATGAAGATCAAAAACGAACAAATTTAAATGTATTACCATCAACAAGACAATTTAATCGTGAAAGAACAAGTATTCATGTATTAGTTATTATTGATGTACTTGTTGATATGATGTTTATATTTGATATTTTAATTAGTTTTCGGTAATCAATAGAATTATTTCAATGATTTATAAAAATAATCTATTGATTTCATTTTTAGAACAACATTTGTTTTAAAAGAAACAAATGAAGTTATAACAAGTCCTATTTTAATTGCTAAACATTTTGTTATTGATTCTTGGAGACGTTTTGTTGTTGATATACTCGGTGCTTTACCATGGGATATACTTTTCTATGGAAATGGAAGTCATTCGGTATGAAAAATAAGAAAATTTAACAGATTTTTCTTTTTTGTTTTAAAAAAAAAAATTATTTATCTTTTTTTTTGTAAAGAGTATGCGTTTAGCAAATTGTTTTAAATTAGCACGACTTTTACGACTTGTTGCATTTGTTCGAAATTTTCAAAAAACAGAATATCGATCAGCGGTTTTATTTTTTCTTATGCTTCTATTTGCTATTGCTGCACATTGGCTAGCTTGTATATTTCATTTTATTGCTATACTTGAAAGACCAAATTTACAAGTTAAATATTCTTGGCTTGATCATCTTGCTGAAAAATATAAAATGCCTTATCGTATGTTTTAATTTAATTTTCAAATGAATAAAATTATTATTTGAAATATTTTTAGTTGTAAATGATACATTAAGTGGACCAGATTTAAAATCAAAATATTTAACTGCACTTTTTTTTGCTATGACTTCACTTACATCAGTCGGTTTTGGAAATGTTGCAGCGGTAGAATATATTAATTTGATTCTTTTTTTTTTTTTTTCTTTTTATCGATATTAGATTTAATTTTTAATAGAATACAAATGGTGAAAAACTTTTTTCTATCCTATCAATGTTAGCTGGATGTAAGTAGATTTCTAGAAAAAATTGTTTTTCGTTTTTTTTTTTCAATTTATTTTCTATTTAATAGCATTTTTAAGTGCATCAATTCTTGGAAGTGTAACAACAATTATTATTAAATTATATCAAGGTGCTGAAGAATTAAAAGAAATGAAACAAAGTATTGATGATTTTATAAAACATCATCGTATATGTAAACTACTTGCTAAACGAATGCAAGATTCATTTGAACATGAATGGAAAAATACGAAAGGTATTGATATGAATAGTATATTGAAAACATTTCCAGAATGTATTCAAGCTGATATATGTTTACATCTTAATCGTGAATTATTAAATAATTGTTCAGTTTTTGAACATGCTAATGAAGGTAAATAGACCAAAAAATAAAGAAATCTTTCTTTTTTTCGATAACAAATTCTTCTTTTGAAGTTACTCTTCGAACATTAGCTCTTCTTTTTAAATCAACTCATGTTCCTCCAGGCGATACACTTATTCATCAAGGTAATGTATATAGGAATTGAAGAATTATTTAAATACATCGAGTTTATTTATAGATTTTCTTAGAAAGTACTTCGTATTTCTTTATTTTAACTAAAACAATATTTTTAAACTTCTTTTATGTAACATGGACATGATAAGAATGATTCGGATGTGTTTTTTTTTGTATTTGTCTCGTTACAAAGAAGAATAAAAAGAAAATCATCTTTCATTATAACAACATGTCAGAATGAATAACATATGACATGTGTTTGTCAAGTAAAATATTTTGTTATTACAATATAATACGAACTCTGGAAATACAATGATGTTAATCATATATACTAACGAACATAAGTTTAGAGTAATTGTATTTTTGAGTTTGCTGAATGTCTGCTATAAATTGAATGTGAGATATTTCATCTTTGTTTCTATCAAATAGAAGCTAGAAAACTATTTTTTAGAGGTCTCGAATTTTCAAACATTCTCATCCAAACTTATGTTCGCTGCTATAAGCTAACATTAGGACTATATGATAAAGATAAAATTTTGCTTGTTTGTTTGAAAAGTAATCTATGTCAGTAGTTTTCATGTCTTTTTTTTTTTTTCAAAATTTAAATAAACATCTTCACATTCATTTCAATGTCATATATGACATATGATTACGATAATAAGAACTAATCTTTCGAGATTATAGTTGTCTTTAGAATCAATTAGAATGTATTACATACATTTGAAAAATTAAATTCAAGATACTATCATAATTTTTAATTAAGGTAGTAGTTCATACATTATAACAAGAGGTTATTGATATACGACCTTTGCCTATGTATCAATAACGTCAGTCACAGTCTGTGACATTTCTTTAGTTGTCTGTTACGTGTGTCATGATCTATATACTATAACACTTCTTTTAGATTATATTACACAAAAATGAGATATAATTAATTCCTGTTGATTCTTGCCATTAACAGACAATTCATTATATATTTAAAATGTCCTTTTAAGCCCCCCCCCCCCCCTCAAAAATAGTCAATTTTCGAGAATAAAACCGAAATTGAGATAAATGCATAGGAAGATAGCCCATGATTCACTCTTTCAGAAATGATATAGGTTTTTTTCCAAAAACGCTTCTTTGGCTGAAATTTTTGATGATTCCTGTGATGCGCTCCACAAAAAATACGATTTTTTCGAAAAAAATTATTTTTTGGTATAGTACATAATTTAAGAGTTTAAAGATGTTCCCCATGTCATAAAGATCCTTTTTATACATAACTCATCATTATATGGATTATTGATAGTCAAGTTCTTTAGATAAATGCTAAAAATTTCAACAAACTATAAAATGTCAAAAAAACAATCTTGCAAAAATCTTTTTCGTTTTCTCGAACGTGCATCCCAAATTTCTCTTTAATGGTCCATATAATGTATTAATATTTTTTTTTTGTTTGAAAGAGCGTGTCAAGATGCAGGGTCCCACGTTGTCATTTTTTTGAAATACGCTCTTTTTATAGTCAATATAATGGCAATGATATAATTTTCCCACCATTTTTTGACAAATTTTTGAGCAATGAAACTTGTCCCCTCTTTTTTTCGATTAAAAAGGAGGTATTTAAAAAAAAGGAGAACGTAGTGCCCAGCATCCTGACACGCTCTTTCTAACAAAAAAAAATATTAATACATTGTATGGACCGTTACAGAGAAATTTGGGATGCCGTTTTCTCTATTTTTCGATCTCGTTTCGTCAATATCTCCCCTAAATGAAGTGGTTTTGGGCTGAAAATTTTATCATAGACTTCCCTTAATGTCTCCAACATATCCTGTAAATTTCAGCTGATTCGAATGTTCCAGGGCCGAGATCGATTTTTGACGGGGGCCTTAATAAGTCAATTACATACAATGGTTTTCAGTTAAATGTATTAGAAGCAAAATTATCGATAAAAATGTCAATTCTTAAAATTTCTAACAATCATGTTTTATTGAAATAAAATCCCAAAAATTACAAATTCTTGACGGCTTGTAATGTATAACTTGTTTGGTTTCACTTATAAAATTTATATGAACATAATGCAGTAGATGACATTACAAAAACGAAAAACAATAATATATATATTTGAATTTCTCCGTATTTGTACTTGCATTACAATAGTCGAATTTGTAATTTTTGGGATTTTATTTCAATAAAACATGATTGTTAGAAATTTTAAGAATTGACATTTTTATCGATAATTTTGCTTCTAATACATTTAACTGAAAACCATTGTATGTAATTGACTTATTAAGGCCCCCGTCAAAAATCGATCTCGGCCCTGGAACATTCGNAACTTATTTTTATCTTAAAATTATAAAAAAATAAAACCCGGACTGAAAGGGTTAATCAGCTAAAATATAATCAATAGATTATTTCTATATTAAAAATAAGAAGTACTCCCAAAAGAAACCTATAGTAAAATGTCAAAAAAGATTTCAAAGAATAAAATATTAGTTTATACGCAACAACATACATAAGGGAAAGATCGAATCGAATGTCATTAATCAAGTCATAAATATGTTCTAAAAAAAGGAAGAACAACAAAAGAAAAGTAAACAAATACAATAGCGTTATTTTTTATGACCTCTTTTATAATAAATTAGAAATTTCGATTTAAATTAACTCGCGCAGTTGCGCTAATAACAATCAATAATTTCTAATCTATGTCTAATGTATGAATATGATGCATAAATGGCATAGAAAACAAGCAAAGGTCAAAAGTACTTTATGACAATAAGAAATAATTTTAGAATCTAAGTATAATAATAAGATAATCTATTTACATTTAACATAATTCTCTACTTTTCTTGATAATCTGTCGAGATTATCATATTTTAAGTAGATTGTATGAAAAAGTATTCTAGTATATTCTAGCGAAATTTCGAATAGGATAATCAGATCAGCACGACCTGATGAGAAAAATTCATTCGATTTATAATTTAAAGGAGTTTTTTTTACTTTGTCATCCTGTTTTTCCCTGAACTCAAAATACGAAGACATTTTTTTAAAAGACTCATATCATCATTGATATTTAACTTAATTAATCTCAAACTTATAGATAGTTGAAAGTAAATTAAAACAAACTTATTTGAATGAACAGAAGAAATGGCACTACCAATTCATCTAATGTTTCATGATAAAAAATCTTTTTTTCTTCTCTTCGAATGGATATTAGACAATACAATTTAAAAAAACACGAAAAAAAAGATGCCTTATAATGGAAGATTAAAATCTTTTGTCATTATGTTAGAAGATGAATTTCTCTTGTCAAATAAAACTTTTTCAATACTTATTAACATCAAATCACATAGTGAGAAGTACGACTTTAATTAAATTTAGAAAACGGAAAACTACAGGTAATCTAAAAAGTATTCGGACATCTATCAATTCTTTTTTTTTTGTATTTTTGCATTTTGTACCATAAAAGTCAAATAGTGTTTTATGATGATAATTGATTATTTAATAACAAACCCCCTTCCATAATAGAAGTCCCTCCCATATTAGGAGCCCGTCCCCTATTAGAAGCACACTGTCGAGAAGTTGATTTGCTGGACATTTAGAAGCCCACCTTATTTTAAAAAATTTTTGAAATTTTTTTGGAAACTTATCAGTGTTTTCAGAGCAAAACTTTAAAAATTGCAAAATTTTAAAGTAAAAATGTGTTAAATTCTTATTTTTCAGTATTAAAGTTGCAAAATCTTCTTGAAGATCGTTCGAAAAACCCGTAAAAAATCTGAAAATCCTTTTAAGATTTTTATAAAACTTTGGTACTTAAAATCTTTGAAAAATCATAGAATATAATAGAAGCCCCGTCCAAAAATTTTGAACGCTGGACAGTTTAGAAGCTCCCAGGGGCTTCTATTATGGGAGGGGGTTTACTAATGATGTTATTAAATCACATCCGACAGTCAAGATGAGTACGAATTCTATTCTTATTATCATTTGTCTCCTTGATATTTTTTCAAACTATGAATAAATAAAGATTCAAATGATGGAAGAATGAATTTTGATCTATCCACAACTTATAGTTATATAAAATTACTAAAGCGATATTAGAGTTAGAAATCAAACGAGATTTACTTAAATAATCTTTCGATTATATTTATTTATTTATTTTTTATCATGTTTTCACAATCAAACTCCTGTTGAACTTGTACTGTATTCATGTAATTGAGTAAAATCATAAGTAAGTGCCATTTCATCTGGTGTTGCTAATTTTAATTGTGGATTTTGAAATGCTTTGACATAAAATTCAGATTCCGATAATCTTTTACGTATTTCTTGGAATGATTTTATGTTTATCTCTTTACATATCAATTGTTTAATTGAATCACTAGAAAGAAATAAAACAGGTAAATTTGTAGAAAATAATTTTCTTACCTAGAATATGATCCTATTTTATTATATGAAGATATGCATAGACATAATACAAATGCACATAATGATTGAATAAGACGACCACGATCGTCTGTATCTGAGTCAAGGCATACTTGTGAAATCAGCTTCAAAAAAAAGAAAATTAAAAGTAAAGTTCTTTTTATAAAATATGTTTGATACATATGAAATGTTATTTTCGATTGAAACAAATGTTTCTACTGCTAATGAACAGTTTTCTAACCATGTGCATAGAAAAACAAGTATGCCAACATATGTATGAAATGATGACGATGTCTATTCATAATAAAAAACATCAAATATATTAAATGAAATGATTTTGTTCAATTTACATTTTTCAGTAAATCAGTTGATAATTCCATTAATGTTTTACCATTTATTGGTGATTGATCAATCGATATTACCACCTTAAGCATTTCTTCTTTATGTGTCTTATCGAAATGACCACCAATTAAACATGAGAATCCAATACTAGAGCACCATGATGCCACAACATCATTGATAACATAACCATTAATCAACCAGCTACCTAATGTATAATGATTAGCTGCGAAATAAAGTCAAAAGAATTATTTTTTCTCTTTTGAAAAAAAAATTAATTTACCAATTTCACTTTGATATGAAAGTGTACTAATAATCATGTTTTTACCAAATTCATTTTGATATAAATAACATCTTAAAAAATAAAGTATTGCAATTCGAAGTTCAAATGGTTTATTTCGACCATTGATCATTACGTTCAGTAGATTGTAAAGTACAGATCTTAACAAAATGAATTAGTATATCAAATTAAATATATCTTATAGTTTATTTACTGTTGAATAATACCATAATTATTCATGACTGAATCAAGAAATCTTTTATTTTCAGCACTACCATCAATAACATCAGCAATTGTTCTAATAATCTATAAATATCGAAATATATATTGATTGAAATAACGAACTTAAACTCACTTGAATAAGTATTCGCATTGGTACACCTGCCAGTTTCAGAATAACACACATATTTTGTAAAATATCTTAGAAAAGATATGAGAAAGTTTTACGTAAAAAGAAACGAAAAAGATGATCATCTTTGATTTATAAATTAAGGGAGGG